CACGTTGCACAGCCGGTCCCAGTGGGACCAAGCCTGGATGTGACATGAGGCCCATGCCCTAATGGTGGGGACAGAATCCTGGGGACCATTCACCCACCCCTACCTTCCCAGGTTGGAAACTGAGACGAGGTAAGGGTAAGTCTGAGACATTTACAGTACAATGATGAGCCACCTGGTTTTAGGCAGGACACCACTAGAGATGGCACCCAAGTAGACACTGACCCAGGAGGCTATACTGTGGACTGGCTCTGCCACTGCCTAGCTGGGTGACCTTAGTCAACTCATTTAACCTCTCTGGGCCTGACCCTCCTTACTTATGAACAGCATTGAGCTCTTGCAGTTGACGTTGTTAGAACACGTGTGACCCGAGTCAGTATTCCAGAGGTCACAGCTGTCAATTGCTGTCACACAGGCATGGAGGCACAAGTCTGAGGTCTGCCATTTGTGGACTGTGTGACCTTGAAAGGCCACCTTGGGAAACAGAGCCTCCTAATTTGAGGTACAGCAGCCATGCCAACAGTAGCTAACGTGGTAATAGCACTTTCCATATCACGTGTTCCCACACGGACTCCTCAGCTACTTGTGGGTGGAAGTTGTTGTGACCCCACTTTGCAGATAAAGAGATGCAGATATGCGGACAGTGAGTAGCAGAGCTGGATATCTCTGAGTCCCTGTCCTACATTGTCATGCCTGCTACTTTTCTAAAACAGGGACAGGAAGTCTACTTATCATGGGATGTCACATGAGGACTAAATAAGGTGAAAGACTTAATTTTAATAAAATAAGCAGATAATTCAGCAGAGTGTCCCACGCTTTGCAGTAAATATCTTCTGCAGTGATAATGACTACAATGATGATAGCAGTGATGAAAATGGTTATGGTGGTCATGACTGTGATGGTGATGACATTGATGACAGTGATGATAGTAATGACCATGGTGATGATGGTAGTGATGGTGGTCATGACTGTGATGGTGATAGTGGTGGTGAGGATGATGATGACTATGCTGATGATGAC